ATGAACGGTCCCATATAGTCTAGCCCCACATACGAAAACGGACGAACAAAGGGCGTGAGACGATCTTCGGGTAGTTGTCCCATTTGTGGTATTTCGGGCCTTGCCCGTTCCCTCTGACATGACAGACATCTTCTTCCTGCCTTTCGCACTTCTTCGCGAATGTGAGGTATCCAGTATTTGCGGCGTAATTCAGCTATGATCGTGTTTTGATTCTGATGCTTCCATATGCGATGATACAAGTCGATGATTAGGTTGGTCACGTGGTGTCGTTGAGGCAATACTACGGGTTGACGTGTGTGTTGAGGAATGGCGTACGCGTTTTGAAGACGACCATTCACTCGAATTATGCCGACGTCGTCTATCATTGGCGACAATCTAAAAAGTTTACTACTTGCGTTTAATTGCTTACCTCCCCTCAGTATAGCGCACTCATCGGCATATGCACTCCGCTGCGCGATACGGATGACTAGAAGTTCGGCATCTCTAAGTTCCCTCACCGTCAACGAACCGTACAGTCGCTTCTCTGGTGTGTTGGAGCTGTTGTACACAAACCTTCGCAAGTAGGGGACTATTCTTGTGAGTCGTGGGAACGATGAGTACTTCTGCAGTATGTCCTCGTCCAGCGAGACGAGGAATACCTCATACTTGGCCCGTAATTCTTCACGAGTTCCATCGACAGCATCAAGCCTGGGCCAAAATGACTCGTCTTTTCTCAAGAAGTCTGGGCCACAAAGACAGGAGCATTCACGCGAGCTGCTTTGTAGTCTCGTACCAAAGTCTGCTGGATTTAGAGCGCCTGGAGTCCATCTCCACTCGAGTTGATTAGTAACATCTAGAATTTCATCAACCCTATGGGCTACGTAGGGCTTGTACCTTCTGTGGTCGGAAGCTATCCACGCTTGGACTGTCTTCGAATCTGTCCACATCACCACACGTGACGGCTTGGTGTCGTGAGAACTCAACAGCATTTTCCGAAGTCGAGAGGCCAGTACTGCCGCCTGCAGTTCTAATCTTGGAATAGTCGTGAGCTTGAGAGGTGCACATTCCGTCTTTCCGGCTACCATTGCAACGTTCACGTCACGCCCATTGCTGATTCGCCAGTACGCCACAGCGGCGAATGCCATCTCACTTGCGTCGGCAAATACATGGAGCTCCACAACTCCTGTTGTAAAGAATGTACCATAGCAGCGCGGAACCTTGATGTTGTCCACATGATGTAATATGTTTAGCCATGTCCTCCAGAGCTTTTGCGCCTCCACGGGAATTTCATCATCCCAATCAGTTCTCGCTCGCCAGACCGTTTGCAGTAGCAACTTCGCCTTAAGTACGTATTCCGCTGCAAAGCCAAAGGGGTCGAAAACAGACATGGTGACGCGTAATAGCTCCCGCTTAGTGGGGGCCCGTTTGCCTTGCAACAGGTCTTCATCGACGCGACCGAAAGCGAGAACGAACTTGAGCTCATCATACTCCGTGTCCCACCGCATCCCTAAAACCTTCGGATAGCCTGCATTAGATTTGTCGAAACCTTTCTGTACACCGAAGTCGTGGCCTCCGTTTAAAGCATCGTGCACCATTCGTGAATTCAATATAAACCCTTTTAGGTTGAATCCGCCTTTTTGGTGAATGCATCGCACTTGATTCGCTATTCGCACGGCTTCTTCCTCGTCTGCAAAGGAATGAACGAAATCGTCCACATAATGGTTGTTTAAAATCGCATTGACGGCATCAGGGAATTCCTCAGAAAACTCAAGCGCATTCTTATTTTTCACAAATTGTGCGGCACAAGGAGAACATGTTGCTCCGAAAGTCATTAGGCGCATGGAGTACTCCACGATTTCTTCATCAGGCTTCTCCCTCCACAGAAACCTTTGCGCCGGTTGATCTTCCGCACGTGCTACCACCTGATGAAACATCTCTTCGATGTCGGAGCTGACGGCTATGGGTTTTTGTCTAAATTTCATAAGCACCTCTAGCATTGGTTTACCCATATCTGGACCGCTAAGCAGGTAGGAGTTCAACGATCTTCCGGAGACTTGTGCTGCTGCGTCGAATACGAGGCGTACTTTTCCCGGCTTATTTAGGTTGTAAACGCCAAAGTGGGGAAGATACCATATCCGTGGGTGTTTTGTCAGCGTTTCCTCTTTCGTGAGTTTCCTGGAATATCCCTTCGCTAAGTAGTGCCTCATCGTTTTGATATACTCGTGCTTCAATTCTGCGTTGCATTTAAATCTCCGTTCGAGCGCTAGAAGTCTTCTCTCCGCCATTCCCCGCGTGTACTCCGGTATATCTTCATCGGTTCTCCAAAGCAACCCCGTCTCAAAGCGATCGCCTATACGAACTGTAGTATTCTCTAATATGGCGCGTGCTCTTACCTCTTCCTGTGGCTCAACATGTTTGACAGTAGGTGACGCACTCAAGTCATCGCTTATTATAAAGTTCTTGACTAACTCGTCGATGGTTTCATCCTCGAGCGTTTTATCTGCGGCGTGTTCTCGCACCAAAAGTACTTGCTGTCTCGCTACGTTCTCGTATCCCATTGGACCGTAAATCACCCAGCCTAGCTTGGTCAACACTGCAGCCGGGCCCCGATGACCATCCTCGGCAATACGCTTAGCTATGCCTAGATGCACATTATCTAACCCTATCAGCAGATCTGGCGTCACGCCAGTGTACCCTTCTATAGGCAGCCTCTTCAGGTGTCGTTGTCTTACGTGGAGTTCCGAGATTCGGAGCGTCTGCCGCGGTAGCTGCAGGTTCTTTACAGTTCTCTCATTGAGCAGAGGAAACCGTTTGTGTCCTTGACCTACACCCGATATTTCCATGTTTAATGTCATTGACGACTCAGTTGCCGTATTATTGCCGAACCACTGCAAGGTTAATTCTTTTTTAGACCCTGTTATGCCAATCTGAGTAACGAGTTTCTCATTCACCAAACTTATTGATGACCCTTCACCAAGAAGTGCGTAGCAATCGACTGACTTACTTTTAAACAAGAGCCTTTGGTTACAGGGAAGTGCTTCCGCATTCGTTAATATGCGCGGTATTTGTTGGCTTTGCTCTTCTCGTGAGCATCGAGGCTCGTGTAGGATTGCGTGCCACTTTTTGTCGCACCTCACATTGTCACATTGGTGTTTGCGACGACATGAACCGCCTCGATGCCCAGATTTCAAACAATTAAAGCACAGACGTCTTTCGCGAACAAAACGCCATTTTTGCTTATGTGGAAGGTCTAAAAACTGACTGCAACGTTCGAGCTCGTGACTCCCGGAACACATACTGCACTCGTTTCCATGCAACTCTTGCGTTTCAGTTGCATGAAAAAATCTCGGACGCCTCTCCGATCTTGGATCTGTTTGTCGATGCGGTTCGACCACGTTGATGCAAACACTACTAGCAACGCGTGCTTCTTCTTGCAACCACTCGCTAAGATGCTGAATAGTTGGCCGCGGTTGTATGGTCAAGGAATGTCTGGCCCATGCCAACTTGCGCTGCACTGGCAGCTTGGATACAAGCTCTTCCATTAAAATTGGATTGCTAAGGTGGTGGTCGCATTCAGCTGCACTAAGGAAAGAAGCCAAATTTTGTACTTTTGTGGAGAAGGGAATTATAAGATCTATTCTACTCTCGGGAATATTTGGAACGTTGCGAATACGAGCGATTTGGCTTTTGACGAGAAGCTCTGGCCTCCCAAACCGTTCCTTTAAAGTTTCGATAACTCGATTAACATTGCCACTGTGTATAAGCAGACACTCAACTGTCTCCCTTGCCTTTCCTTTCAGTGCCTTTTGCAACCTAATCATATTCTGCCGCTCAGTATATCGATACTCTTCGGTTGTGGCAGAAAACGCTTCCCTAAACATGGGCCAGTCTTCTGGACGACCATCGAATTCGGGCAAGTCATACAGCCTGGTCACAGGCTGTGCCGGTACATGCGATAGAGCGCGGTTCAGTTCACTAACCGCAGCTGCTAATGTGTTGCTTGGCATGCCCTCCCTTTCGCTATTCGTCTCTGCTGTCGATGTTGCGTTATTCTGCTGCTGACTTAAAGCTGCTTTCAAAATACGTATTTCCTCCATCATTGCGTTTAACTGCACCGTTACACTTGCGGTACTTGCTTGGTTAGCGGCTGTAGTATGTTCTCGAATGGTAAGTTCGAGGTCTTCGTTTTCGCTGTCCGCCATTTTGGATGCTGAACGTGTGGTTGGCATGTAATTGCTCGGCTATTCCCTATTGTACGACACTGCCTACTCAACGCTCCCAATTGACCTATCTAAAACCCTAATCCTCCTCAGATACACTTACCGGCACTCCAGTTGCTGCACACGCCTGCCTATATTTCTGCTAGGGCTCCTTTGCTGCTTCTCGCAGTTCACTGCTATATACGCCTTCGTTGTAGCAACTCGGAAAAGTGAAATAAAAATTTGTTGCAAAGATAGTTGCGCGAGGGCCAAAATAAAACAAACGTCTTC